ACTGCGACGTGGCTGCGTCGCGCACTTCAACGCATTAAAACAATGTTGACCTGAGGTCATGGTAACGACGACGTAACCTCAAGTATTTCCACTGACGACCTTGCAAATAGGCGTTTTGGGTAGCCTGAGAGCATCCAGCAGCGTTTTTGGGAAACTACATACCTCAACTTTATTGCGAGCTGCTAGTTACTTACTAACTCCCACTTACACGTTACTACCGTCCCAGATTTTTCGTACGGGTCCGAAACATTGGTTTCAGCTTCGTCCGATGTTATGGAAGTGCTGACTTTATGAATTCATTGCAATGAATAGTACACAGGGTAGGGATTAAGCCTCTGTGGGCATTCCGTCGGAGGTCATTTGCGCGGCTAGAGCTAAGCTACCCCTTTGCTTTCGGCCTCCTCAATATTTCTCATTTGTTCGATTTTTCAGCACAGAAAATGAATTTTCATCTTTGATAATATTTCTTTGCAAATCAATTAGCCTTCATGAGTCTCTGGGCAGTCTAACTCACATCCGAAACGCTCTACGATTCTAGATGAAAGTAGGATGCTTGGTCCAACTCATTGGAATATCGATCATCTTCAAAATCTTCTCTTTTATTTTAGATACTACTTGAACAATAATGCGAGTGGCATTTTATGAGGACGATCGTCATTCATTTTATCTACGAACCAGACCATAATCAGCCTCCTGTGTGGACTAATCCTGCCTTTGGGCTGAGTAATTGAAGAAAATCCTTTGATTGAGCGTAATGTGTGAATAGTATAACAACAACGCTAATTATGGCGAGATCTGTTCTCACCTCTACTCTTTAGAACTAATCAGTAACTCAAACTGTTGCCCGGAACCAAACAATCTAAATTCACTATCATTCAATAGAGGTAGGAGGCAACTGCATATGACTTGAATTGTTTGAGTGAATTACCAACTATGAATAATTTCACGTATTACTTCTTCTCACACACGCGCCACATTCCAACTATGACTACTTTCACGTACTTCTTTTTTCACCTACGCGATAGGTGCTACTTTGTTTTCTCTTACGCAGTATCAATGCCTAGGTAATAAAGAAGAAAGAGATTAAGTCATTCAAAGGAGAAAAATAGTGTAAATGAGCTAAGGATAAAGTCTTCGCCGTTGATCAATCCCTTTGTGGGATGCGGCACGCACTTCCATTCAGAATCGTAGTGGCTTATTGAATGCGATGTGGCCTATACAATGACTTGCGGGGCCAGCCGATGTACAAGTCAGTGTTCTTATCCTCCTAGACCATGTTACGAGTCAGTGTTACTGTCCCCGGAGGGTAGAAGTCTCGGCTGGCGTGGGAGGAAGTCGATCCTGACGCTGGGATTTGAACCCGGGGTTAGGCATACTTGGTGAGAAGCGGTTTATGTTCGTCTAAGCGAACGTAAATAGGACCAGCTCTATTAACGAAGAAATGATCTGAGTCCGCTGCGAGCTGCCATAAAATTCAATTTTATCACAACGTCTCCGTCCCAGAGCTGATAGACGGCGTTGGATTGAGAAACTCCGCCCCACCGAATCTTTATCTTGTCCGTTGCGGATTTCTCGTTGACGATTACTGATTTCATTCCTTCTTAGCGAAAGAGTTTTCAAGCCAAGTAGTTGTTACGAGAGGGCGAGTCCGGCAAGTAGGAAAAGCCGAGACAACGAAGAAATAGCTTGCGCGTAAAGCTGTTCTGAACCGCCTCAAGTCTTTTAATGGCAGAGACGCTTAGACGGATTGAACACAGTAGTTCCGTACTCCAAAATAGGCCTAACATAAGTTTTGTAAGCGACAAGCAGTGGGGATTAGTAGAGGAAAGGGCTTTGAAACAGACTATAAAGTCTACGCTGACCAGCATTTGCAACAATATCACAATGTTTGGAGAAATCAAGCTTTTCATTGACAGAAGAACAACTGAACGCACAGGCCTATTTGTTTGAATTTGTACCAGGAACTGCATCAAAATTCCTGAACATTTCTCATTTCAGTGCTGCCAGATGTTAACTCAAGGTTGTGCGAATTTTCCTTGCTACCAGTGAACCTTACAGACGAGCCACCCAAGCAGCCTGTCGAATATGGATCGTAAGTATAATTATGAGTTCCGTACATAAAGAAAAATTTGTACACTTATCAGAAAAAGTTTAAGAGCAAGTTTAGGCGCACCGTCGAAAAGGCAAAGGGCACGATAAGCCGCTTTGGCATTTAAATCCAATACCCTAAGGCAGCGTTCAGACCTGTAGCGCTACGTCGCGCTACAGCTGTACCAAACTCCAGGTTCCCTTTATGTTTTTTCTTTCTGAATTCGATCCCTTCTTTTGTTTCTCATGTTTATCTGATCCTGAGCTCCTTTTTTTTCTTTAACACTGAATTTTGATGTATTTTTGATTGAGCAATTGAAATTGATTGAACAATTTCGCAATCGGGATCAACATAACGCACCACTGCAAGACATCAGACATCGATAGCAATCCTGAGCATGGATAATTAAAGTTGACAACGATATATAAAATCAATCATCACAGTGTTCTGTCAGGGCACATCATTGGTTGGGGATTTTAGTCGAGTCTGTACTACCCGCCCCTTTTTTTTGGGGGGGAGGTGGATACGCCCCCCCTCGCGCGCTCATCTGCGGCTCCTGTTCCTCTCTTCGAATCGAGCCTTCCGAGGCGGGGGAGGGGGGGCCATATAGTACGCATAAAAAGGAAATATCACCAATAAGTCATCCACCACTCCTACACGCCGGTAACGTAAAATACGATTCCTCCTTTAAATGTCCCAAGTGCGACCCCTCGCTTTACTACCTTAACGAAGCGAGAAAAATCAAGTATCAAGAAGAATAACTTTTTCCCAGCCCAAATACGACCCCCATCCCCTATTGGGGATTCCCCAACAAGGATGTGTCCCGTCTTCTGTATCAAAACTACATCAAAGTTCAGTATTTAAGAAAAAAAAGGAGCTCAGGATTCAGAATAAACCATGACAAACTAAAGGAAAAGAAGGGATTGAAGGCTGCAGAAAAAATAAGATAAAGGGAGAAGCTGTTTTTTTGATAACTGCTGTTTTACGCCGCAGTGCGCGATACGAAAGTTATCACAAGAATGCTGAGTTGTGGGCAAAAGTCGGACCACGGGCGGGACTCGAACCCGCATCTTCTGCTTACCGGGCAGTTGCGTTACCACTTACGCTACCGGGCCACTTTTGACCTCTCAGCTCAATGGCTATTTGTGCCATTGCCTTCGAGCACTCACACGTTCAACGTGATGAGCCGGTTAGCCGATATCGGCAGTGAACCGCAAGGCTGAAGGCTTTGAGTGGCTCCGGTAGCGTAAGGTGTAACGCAACTGCCCGGTAAGCAGAAGATGCGGGTTCGAGTCCCGCCCGTGGTCCGACTTTTGCCCACAACTCAGCATTCTTGTGATAACTTTCATAAAGGGAACCTTTAGTTTTGGTACAGCTGTAGCGCTACAAGTCTGGAGAGACTGCCTAACCACCAAAGAGCTTCACCCCTGACAAAGCCTTACATGATGTCTTTTCCAACGAAAAATGGTCTCTAAGCATCCCAGCAAGCTTTGACACATACCAGGTACGCCACTCCTTAGAACGCACGCCACACAAGTGGCCTTGATCCGACATCAGCAACGTTGATAACCATCAGGCCAGCTGTTTTCACCCACAATCTGCATTGAATGACGTTTTACTTCTTTAGAGTTCTTTTTAGAGAGGTACGACTTATGAGTGACGAAGTATACTATTCTTTGGACAGACCAAATTTTTCCAAGGGCATGCCAGTTTCTATGTTTCAGACTTGTTTTACGTTTTTGGTTTTTTCCACATGATTCTCGCGGTTCTTCGGCTAAACTGACGCTAGTATGTCCCTGCTTCTGTTAAGGACCCCCGCTGATATTGTCGTGAAGTTTTTTACTGCCTAAAACAATGTGTTTTCATATGTTTTGTGCAATCGCCGTGATTTTTTTTGCACATTGATATTTGACCAGCGATGATTGATCTCAGACGTAGACCCGCACACTTCCTGATTGGAGCGGTTAATGCGACCCTTATTTTGGGCGTTCTGGGCCATATTGTCTCGTTTTCGCCTTACTGCCGCACTACAGAGTGCCTCTGCTCCCGCCTTTTGCAGACTCCGCAGGGAACCAAATTATCTGACCCCCTGCCTTCAACTATTTTTAAATTTTCCTTGCAGTAACCGTAATTTTTCCGCTCTGATCAGGCGTATGCTGTTGTTGCTGTTCACGTCAGGGTACATCATTGTTAGGGGATTTTAGTCGAGTCTGTACGACCCCTCCCTGTCCTGGCGACCAAATACGACCCCCCCCCCCTATTGGGGATTCCCCAACAACGATGTGCCCTGGTTCACGCTTTTGCTGAAGCGGTTTATATGGGCTCCATTTAGAACGCTTTCGGCCTTTTCGTCCCGCTTTTTGTCTATCTAGCGTGCCTACTTCCATTTTCTGGTAGCAACCATTGACCGCCATTGCCTTCAAGGACAGACGGTCCACACACCTCCGTGGATCTTGTTCCTTGCAATGGAGAGGAAATCAGGTCCGCTGCAGTAGCGTGCCACTTTCTTCGTTTAAAAGCGCACGGAAACGAGGCTGAAGCGTAGTGAGCCCGGGCGCAGTCTCCGGGCTCCGCCCGTGCTGCCGTATGGCTAGACAGACGCCTAGCATGGCCAGGTGCGCTATTATCTCACCCTCTCACTTCTGCAGTGCGTGTTTCGCTGCGGGACTTTTGTGTTGACACAACAGCTGCATTTTGATGAAAGCGCAGACGGATGGAGACGGCATTCGGGCAGCACTACCTACAGCTCAATTCCCGTTCACTTTCGAGAGGCGAATGTGTCGCGCTACTGCAGCTGCGAACCCATTCGTCTCGCATACGGTGAGGACCTTCTTATTAGGTGACTGTGCGTTTTGCTCTTCAATGTACTTGAACTTGCAAGTAATCTATAGTGCACAGAAGACATGAAGAAATGTTCTGTTCCCTGCACTTTGTTTTATTAGTGGTTGGTGAAGTGTTAGTCCGAGTAGCGCTATGATATTTCATAAATTGTTCATGAGCTAATCAGCTGCCCATTCCTTTTCTTATAAGCAATTTAGTCTACTTCACGGAAATACAGGTTTTTCTTCACAACGGGCTATGAATTGAATTAATTTCCAACTCATCGCTGAAGATTCTTGATCCCCAGTGGTTCTTTGTCGCTAAAGGCTATTTGTGACATTTTCTGCGCACAAGCGAAAGGGACAGCTACATTGGAAAGATTCAAACAAAAATCGAATTTTTCAAGTTCGAAGTTTATAAAAGGCGCCAATCTAGGTGAAACAGAAGCAAAGAAAAAACTTTTCTTCTGAATGTATGAACGTATAGAGTAAGGGAGAGCGGGCAGATAAAGAGGAGATGGGAAAGAACACCTTATCCTAATTATTTTTCGCCAACGGACTTGTTATCCATCCATCAGATTTAGTCAAAATCCCAGAACTGGGAGGTGCCCACCAACTTAGTTGCGAGCCCAGCTTCTGAAGACATTCACTGCCGGTTCAAGCAGTCATCGCTGTATTAGAGCACGTCATCATTTAGTAAAACTCCCCCCTCGACGGGGAAACTTTGAGAAAAGTTGTTAAAGGCACGTTCCGCGAGATAAAGCTAGACTAGTTCCGGTAAACTAAGGCTAGGTTCTCATAACCGTGCACGATGGTCAAGCAGGCAACGTCAGAGGCTATACCGCTTTTAAAAGTTGAAAAACAGCAAGCAAAACGCAGCGCGCTCAGGTTTTAGGCCCATTGGCGCCCGATAGGCCCATGCCGGCCTCCAGTGACCGTGTCGTTGTGAGACTGCCATTGCGCTCTCTCGCCCGTCGTTTTCTGGCCTCTCTCGTCTCTTATCAGTGTATCGCCGCCTTTCGCAATTCACAAGTTGATCTTGATTACGCGTTCACCTTACGCTCGTCCGGTGATCATGATCAATTGCAATAAAGAGGGTCTTATTCCGGGCGCTTTTTCGTGCTTCCTTCTCCTTCAATAAGTCAACAAACACACGGCAGTTCTATTTTTGAACCGTATTACCTATGAGCTGTGGTCGCGGGAATTGCCTTTAAGAGAGTAGTACAGTAGTCACGTTTGTCCTGTGGGAAACAGGAAACCCTTGGGTTTTCATCAAGGATGCTGTCCTCCACTCAAGTACGTCGTACGTTCAGCGATTCCCAGCCAGGGAGGCGTATTCGGTCGCTGGAGAGAGGGGTTCCTATCAGCCTCTGAAAGAAAGGCTCTTGGTTGTCGGCTTTTTGAAGGAGTCGTTGGATCCAGTTAAAATTTTTCCGCACGGCGAGACGTGCCCTACCTCCACGCGCGCACTAATGGGAAGACAAGTTGTTTCTCTGCTTCCACCCATACGACCAGCATGATCTGTGGTATTACTAGTAACCATGCGTCTGCACACCATACAAATAATTCAGACCGTCAGAGTTCATTTTCAGGGCGATTGCGAACCTACGGCAATTGATGTGTGATCTCAGTATTGTCTGGTTGATATGGGCAATAGCACAAATTGTTGGCATCAATCTCGTCTTCTATGGAATCAAAAATATTCGCTGGCGTTTCTTTCTACCCCATCTTTTGTTACGGTGAGCCGAATATTATATTGATTCACAAGTTACTGTAGTAGAATCTTCAAAAAATGTGAGAGACTTCCATCCAAAAAACACCGCAGTTTAGTCTCGAGGAAAGTATTTTGTGACTTAGTAAAATCTATTCGTTATATCGAAAAGCGTTCAGAGTTCTCGGCACCGGTGTGCTTGGCTGCCTTGTCGCCATACTGACATTTTCGGCAGTAACCGAGCAAGACAACTCAGCTCACATCATTGGCCTGGTCTTCATCGCACTTCTTGTTGTTTTTTGGATATACGCCACGGTAAGTGCTTTATTCAGAACTTGTACTGGGTCCACGCTGATCGCGTAGGCGGGTACAGTCAACCAGTGTGCGTCCGATACAAGCAGGGTATAGCATCGTTGTGTGACTTGGGGAGGAGGATCGTACTTGGCCACTGTGAAGAGGGGATCGCATTTGGTCGTTGTTGGGAGAGGAGGGTTGTATGTGGCTTTGAGGAAAATTTGCCGCGTTGAGAGGAAGTTTTCCCCGGTTGTTGACTTTGCGTGATTTTTCTTGTTCCATGGGCATTATTTACCTCTTCCCCCGCCCCACGGGTGTGGGAGGAGGTAAATAATGCCCATGGAACAGGAAAAATCACTTTCCCTCGACGAAAAGTTTTTGCGGAAAAGCTGGAAAGTGTGGAAAATTTCGGAGAAAACTGACTGGGGATGGGGGAAGGGAGGGAAGGGGGGGGGGGGGGAGGGGTCCCACCAAGACTCTCCTTCAGGTGGGGGGGGAGGTCGTACCGAGACCCTCCTTCGCGGACGGGTCGTACTGACACCACCATTTCACACATCACGATGCTGTACCATGAATACAGGACAGCCTCTCCTCTTTATGATCTTGCAATCAGGGAGCGCGAAGTAATGCTAAAGGCGCAAATGGTTGGCTGTATCCACTCACACGTCAGCGCAGACTTCAGCACATTGTATGAAATGAAATATGTTAGGGTGTCCTCTTTTAATTTACTTTACTTCTTTTCTACAACTAACATTTTGCGCTTAAAATGCCTGAATGCCTGGGTTTACAGACTGTTGATAGATTTCCTTAGATCCGATCACCCCCTGAAGTTCACGGGTCCTTTTTACTGGCCTAGGCTAGCACACAGATCGCCGTTGATATCGTCGCAATCTGGCGAGGCAGTGCCAGGAGGCGTGGAATGATCCACACCCGCTGCTGCTTTTTCTACCAATGGTGACTGCGTTCATGTAGAAAACAACCAGTGATAGAAACCACCCAGAGGGTGTCTTCCACGTCTACTGCCACCGCGCCACACCGGATTTCGACGATATCGACTGTAAAGCGATTTGGTCTGAGTCCACATCTCTTCCTCTCACCTAATACAATCACGTAAGATATGAAATTTCCTAATGACCTCTTTCAAGCTTCCAGCTGGACCTAGTTGAATTCCGTTTTTTTTTCTATCCATCATGCTATCCGATTACAGATTACTGAATGCTGGTGCGCACATTTCGTGAAGCGATCACAGGAGACAGGATTTTCAATCTCGGTAGCTCGACCTATAGGGCCAGCCACCATATCACTCAGCGAAAGGGAAGCACCTGCTTCGGTAGGTAGCTCGAATTTCGATTGTTTTGAGGTTGCAGTATTTAATTGCCAAGTTCAAACCACAGCTTGCGGAAAGCTACGCACCGAATGAGTCACGTTTATGGGCGAGACAGAATGAGTTGAATCTTTTTTCAGCCACCAACACGACAATTACCACCCTTACGTCACACCTATGGAGGACGACGAGATCCACAGAAATATGCCCAATAATCGCAAAAACAGCAGTTTGAGGATGAGGTAGCCACTTTTCGCCTACAACTACGTACAGTAGCTACTGTATTCATATTATTTTATAATATCGAATTATTAACAATCGCCGAGATCAATTTTCAATGCTAAAGTCGACGTGAGCCTAATCTGCATCCGACTTTTGTTACAGCAGTTTCGCAAAGTTGCCGGCGAAGTCGACGATCTGGGAGCTTCCACCCTACTCTGAGGAAGATTCGTAAGGATAAAACGGGTCCATTTATTACAGTCTTGTTATTGTCACCATTATCTCACATTCAGCAGAAACTGCTTTAACTGGTTACCATGGAAACATCTCATAAAAATTGCCTTCTTTGTGATTTTCGTTTCTTCGTCTTATTCTTGCATATAGTAGAAAGGAAATTGGCATGTGTTCACGTTATTGATTTGCTGTAGAAAGTTACGGTATCCACTACAGATTGATCTGCCCAGCACTGCATCCCTCGGGCTCCGCATCAAGGCACGTTATACGTTAGGGGACCTCGGCGAGAGTGTCGGAGGGGGTTACTACTTGGTCGCTTAGGGGATTAGGCCGTTCTGCCTTCTAGAAAAATTGTTTTCGGTTGTGCATTTCGCAATTTCCCGTTTTACGGACGATTCTCCCCATTCCCGCTACCAGTAATCCTGTGGAAAAACTGCGGGTAGGTTGTAGGACGTCAGAAAATCTAAGAGTAGTAGGTAGGATCTAGGATGGGGAAGGGGATCGTACCAGAGAAGAGAATTCTAAAGGGGGGGGGGATGGCGGGCGGAGAAAGAAGAGTCCTATTTTGCAGAATTTCCTTAAACGCCCTGCTTTCCATCAATACCTAATCTCTGTGCATTTCTTCTATTGACGCGTTCCAGTCTGAAATTAGCATCTAGCAGAACGATCTGTAGAAGTGCTCCACATGAGCGTGTGGTTACAATGACATGATTGTTTCAAACATTTCAAGAAGTTCCTTTCACTTTTTCAAGTTCATATTGTGCAACAGTGTAAAAGATATGAACTGTGATAGAATAAATGGAGTGCAGTACAGTACCGGTTAAGTAGAAAAATGCACACAAACAACCCCGACACAGTCACAAAGCATACTTTGCGGCAGCGTCCATCAGCGTTCACCAGCGACCATCAGCGTTCCGGGCGTCCGGCAGCGCCAGCGACTAGAAATTACAGATATCGATCTAGAGTCCCAAAGCCTCCCAGCGCTTGTCAGCATGTCAGCATCTGAAAGCGTCCACCAGCGAGTAACAGTAGAGAGTAGGGGAAGTAGAAAGGTAGCAAATAGTTAGATCGCGTCGTGAAGTAGCGGCGTGTGCAATCGCACCGGACAACTACACTTCAGCGTAAATTCAATTGCATATGTAATTCTGTGCTTTAGCAGTTGCGCATGCCGCCATTCACGGCGTCTAATTCAGCTGTTTGCTGCCCTCCTAATTCCCCATACTCTCTACACCTCGTCGGCGGTGAACGCTGCTAGACACTGGCAGACGTGGCAGACGCTAGATCAACACTTGTAATTCCTAGCCTTCGAGACGCTGGCAGACGCCAGTGGATGCTAGCAGACGGTGGCAGACGCTAGACTAAACTTCATTTTTGGTCTCACGCTGCTGGATGCTCGGAAAGTTGTGGTCCTTGTTGGACGCTGCTGCAAAGTATGAACGCAGCCTAAGAAGTGCGTGTGTTAGCATTTAATCCAAATACGGTCCACGGACAACTGGGACTTCAGCCCTTCAAGTGCGTCTATCTGTTTTTCTCTGCAGTCTCGTCCGTTCACAAAGATAAGTGACCCACCCTGATTGTTTGTAATTGTCTTTTACACAGGTAATCCTGTGTAAGTAACAAAAAGAAAACGACAACACAAAAACCAGAAACAAAATAAAAAAACTGCGCTACTAGAACTTGATGCGTATGAATAAAACCACTATCAAAATTCGAGTGCGTGCAAACAAAACTGGTATAAAACAGCCATGAATCCCAGGAAAGGAAAACAGTGAATACAATAAAACGAACTGTGCTTGCAAAGGTATTATGATGTAAGATGTTTGTCTAAAGCAGCCTTGAAAGCGCTTAGTTTGCTCGTGGCCACTCCCAAGGCGTACCAGAACTTTGGGGCAGTCCTATTAACAAAGAAGTGATGCCTGATATTACTCTTAGTTCGACGAGTGATCAGCTTTCTAGCGCTACCTCTGGTAATTGAATCTCTGACCGCAAAAAGAGTGTTAGGTCTAATACCAGTGCGTAGTATGAAGAATCTTGTAAAGGAAAATTAGGTCGAATTTTTTCCTTCTGAGAGTGTCATGAACTCCCTGTTCGCTTGCAGAAACTATGCAGATGCTGCACAAATATAGGAAGCAGACTCTTCATTTCAAAGAAACTGTGTTTTCTCACCAAGGCATTTTCAACGACGTCACTCGAACGAATACGTTCCCTTGGTTGAAGTCAACAGTGACAGTAACAGAAAATGGAGAACCTCTACTTTCATTCGGCTATTAGCGATAAGTACCATCGCCCAAACAGCCGAAGGATGTCAACAGGTCGCACTTGTCCAATCTCACATCAACCAGTGCAGTTCAATGACTCACTGCACCAATACCACAACTGTCAATGCCAAATTCAACTCCATGCAATCGGAGCTGTGTTTACAGGTCACGCATGACACTCGTCAAGTGCATCTGATGAAAATTACTGTAGAAGAAGTTGTCCTACGATGTCAAAAAGAAACACTCTATTTCACTCAAAATACAGAAACTCGAGTTCAATCCCGCAAACGGTGCCCACATATGGGGTCCTGTAAAGGACCGAAATGTGCTAGCATTTCAACGGATACTCTTGTCGGGGAACTAGACGTCACTAGTAATTTCACAGGGCTCACCTACTGCTCTGACCAGGAAAGGTCAATAGGTCAGCCCGGCCATATGCAATGAGATGCACATCATTGTACTCACCTTGACACGGTGAACTCGAAACTATCTTCAAAATTTGCGGAACGATTCTCTGAGCGGAGTTATGGAGGTTTTTCTTTACTGTTTTTCTTCTTCCGGGCGCGCTGGCGCCGAAGCGTTGGCACATGTAGCGCGACTCACAGCGCTCTTCGCGCAAAATAGGTATCATATTCGTGTTCAGGGGGTCAACCCCCAGAGACGTCACCTTAGCGAAATCTGAGGTTCTGACTCAACTTCGAAAAAACTGGGGTATGGATAGTCATGGCTGTGATAGCTAATGGTAACGACAGGTCTTCGAACTGAAATAACTCTTCAGTCATGTCTTCTCGCAAAGAACAATACCTGGCTTACTTATTGTGCCGTCTGCATCATTTTCCTGATTACTGGAAAAAATCCCATTCCGAGACCAGTCATCGATGGTAGGTGAGCTCCAAACTGCTGCTAATACCATGAATCACATTTTCCAAGTTAGGTCGAAATATCAGATTCGGCTAGAAACTTGTCCCCAGGGGTAATTTAACCCGCTGAACATGAATATGATGGTATTTCATTGCAAAAACCCTTGTGACATGTGCTACGGGGGGGGACAAGCACGAGCACTCTTTCAGGCCATAATGGGTCTACACTTTCGAAAAAAAACTGGTCGCAGTTTCCTTACAGGATAGTGCAGGCGAGCAGAGATGTTAGAAGCTTTGTCGGCCATGTTCTTGGACAAATGCAAAAAGGGCCCTCCGCCGAGAACCGATCCTACGACGTCCCGCCTAGTAAACCCGCTCGCTATCCGTTGCGCTCTACTGCCACGTTTCAGTTGACTCCATTCTTGTATATGAAGACGCTTCCACGTTTCCTCGCGATAGCATGTGAAACAACCACGCGGGGATAAAACCCTCCATAACTCCGTTCAGAGAGTCGTTCCGCAAATTCTGAAGGTAGATTCGAGTTCACCGTCCCAAGACTCGTACAACGGTGTGCAGCTCATTGGAAATGGCCGGGCTGACCTGTTGACCTTTCCTGGTGAGTCCTGTGGAGGTTGGGGATGTTCCTGTGGTTTTCCGTCCTCAGGATGCCTTTTATAGGATTTATCACGTACCCACTGACAACAAGGTGCATGAAGTCTTCCAATGTTCCTCGTGGTATGAGACAGTCAAATTCAAAATTGAACAACCGACTGGTCAATACGATCACAGAATCTTCACAGGAGAAATCAAGCCATACACAATACGCACCATGGGTTACGCTCAATTGGAAATACTTTCCTTGTCAATTTCGCCAATTTCAATTCAACATAAAAGGTTCATCACCGATAATCAAACAACTGCATACTTGGATGATGACACCTCCTTTAGTTATGCCTGTACGTCAAAACCGTCAACTACCAATACTTCCGCTAATCAATGTAGTATCAAAGACACTTGCAAATGCAACCCAGCGGAAGATACGGTGTTATGCTACTGCACCCAAAACGACATATCTCAAACGCGCCACTTAGCGAACGTACTGCCGCTACCGATTCACAGCCGGCCCTAAGAAGATACCCTAAATTCACAAAACCGCTTTTGCAGTAGAATTAGCCATAACTCTCAATCCAAGAATCCTTCACATAGCACAAAACCTACTCGAGTTCAAGTGCAATGTCGTAAACACGGGTTTCAGCGGCTGCTACAACTGCTACAAGGGAGCTGTGGCCACGTTCGACTGCACATCAGATGTGCCCACCTCAATTGCGCAAGTAACATGCGGCATGCGCCAGTTCGTGCTTACATGCACAAGAGAAGGACACGCAAACAGCATCAAACTGTTTTTCAACAAAGCACGCGTAAAGGAACAATGCCGCGTTCAATGTAGTTCTCACACCACGATACTAGAACTTCAAGGAACGCTCAATTATATCAATGGAGCACAACCGTTCTGGAAATATGCCAGAATAGGGCAAAATACATCTCAAGACGATCAAAATTTTCAAATTGATTGGGATTTTCCCGACATAACTCATTTCCTTGACGTCTGCAAACAGTTCTACATCTACACCGTAATCATTCTCA